AAAAAGCAAAAAAAAAAACTTAAATTATCTAACGAAAATTGCTAAAAAAAAACCACACACAAAAGAACAGCAACAAATCCATAGCATAAACAAAGTAAAATTGAACAAAACCAAAATCAAAACGAAACAAATACGCAACGAGTCCAGAGCATAAACCAAAAAAAAAACAAAAATCCATCAAGATGAGTGATGACCAAACAACGCCCAATGATGATAAAGGTAAGTCAAAATGTGCAAAAAATATAATAAAGATAACATACTCTTACAGGCGTAAGGGCGGCTAAAGTAGACAAGGAACACAAAAAGTGAAATAATAAAATGGTTGTCATGTCGAAATGACACAGGAAAGCCAGAGTGTTACAATGGGTCAAGTGGGATTATTTGCGCCTTTGAGTGAGGTCAAAAAGTGGTTGAAAAAAAAAACTAAAATGAAATGTCTCTTATCAAGCGGAAGAAAAAAAATACAGAATCCAAATACTAAAAAATAAATACTACAAGATAGTATTACCAATGGAATTTGCTGTTAGGCATAAACCACAATGCTTTCAAAGGGAGTCAAATTAAAGTCAATTTTTTGTGGAATGATTCAATGTCAACATATTGACCAGAGACCGTAACAGTTACGACTTTTATTAAAAAAAAAATCGCTCTTTAACAATTGTTTTTTAACTTTTATTTAATTACTCCTTAAATAACCTTCCTTTCTGACTTTTATTTTATAAATCCAAAATAACAAATATTTTTGATTTTTATCTAAATAATTTGCAAATAACAGTTATTTCTGATTTTTAAATTATATGTCTTATATAACATTTATCGAAAACTTTTATTTATAAAAGTCATAAATAAAAACCAGTCACTTTTACTTTTTAAATCATAATTATAAAAGTCACTTTCATAAGTCGTAGTCAACTTTTGTTTCACAACACCTTCTTAACTGTGAAAAATATTAATGACTTTTATATGCGTGATTTAGAAAATAAAAGTCGGTGACTCATTTATGTTGATAACTTTTAAAAGTAAAATTCACTGACTGATTTTTATTGATGACTTTTATAAATAAATGTCTTCAACGACTGTTATCGAAGATATATAATATAAAAATCAAAAATAATTGTTCTTTTATTTAAATTTTGCATCAAAATTGCAAATAAAAACTTATTTTAAAATTTTAGTCTCGGTGAAAAAAGAAATCGATTGGTATGTATCACGTAGTTGTAGATCATCTGCTGGGAAAAAGTGCTTTGAGAACTGGACCATTCCTGTCCGTTATTGAAACTTAAAAATAAATTTGACTCCCATTTTTGCTTTAAGATTGCATTGCAAGCTGAAAAGCGGTAGCTATTAAAAAAAATCGTTTCATCAAATTCGAGATATGAAGCGGGATTAAACCTGTTTTCTACGGAAAATGGTGACCTTGGGCTTATTGAACCTGAGTAACGAGAATCGTACAATTAAAACAAAATAATATAAAACATAACTCTTCAGTACCATTTGTTCAATATGAAGGATATTCCCTCTGAAGTTGTCGCATATTTTAGAGTCAATCTCCGGAATATGCTGCCATATGAAAACAATTTCTAGGTGAAATGTTCACATCAGAGCTCAGTTTAATTAAGGGCAGATTGGCTACAATTGATTTCCATAGCGCTGTAAGATAAACTGCAACCAAATTACGCAGCTAGTCACTGGAAACCAGGAGCCGTGTTGATGAACACCTCAGTCCTCTTAGAAAAGCGTAACGGATTGGTACACCAACTTTGACGCTGCTTACAGATACAGCAGAAACCCTATTCTCACTAGACTGTTTAAAAGTACAATAACGGTTTGAAGTTAAATTTTCTGCTGCTCCTGAAAGAAATGAACCCTTCGACAACGCCGAAGACAGCAGCGTCCTTACTTGTCTTATTTTATTTTATGGCAAATTATGCTTTTCCAACTTAATCATACAAGTTAGAAATATAAACAAATTATGGTCGTGGGCACGATTGCGAAATATGCAGACTCCTACTGCAGCTATCGGGACTTTTTCTTGTAAATTAAAGTATGGTGTTTGCGGTTGTTCTGAAAAATTTCCCTTTTATGGTGAAAAATATGATTGGTGTTGCACTCAACCCTGTAAAAGTGCCTACTTATCCTTATCTGGCTCGCGCATGTCATAATATTTTCATTTTAAGCAACCATCTGATTTTCAGGGCAACAATCTTCCTTGACAAAACGTCTATAGGTAGAGAATATGCCCACCGGTTTACCTTTATTTTGCAAATAAACACAGATAGGGAAAAGGGCAATATAAAGGCGACATTTTTAAGAGAAACGAAAGCACCCTTACCCACATACATACGCCTTGAAATTAATTCGAATTGGAAAGTAAATAATAATTTTCAAAACAATTGGACTCAAGCGTCATTTAGTCAATTTATTGTCTTCAAATACACTTGATCCTTACTAACTATTTTCTGATGTGAATTTCACCCAAAATGTTCTTTATTTTTTTTTAATTTTTCTGCGCAATTTTTTATTTTTTACTTACATACAAAAAATAAAAATGTATTAAGTAAGTTGTCTTTGAATACTGTTCCTCTTAGCCAATGATAAACTATATTTAAATAGCGACCAATATTTTTCTTTTTTCCCAAACGTAATAGAGTTACTTCGCTACCGCTCCTACATTGCTAGTTTTTGCTAACGACATTTCTTTGTTCCTTATTTCAATCCATACGGAATCTCTGCATTCTGAAATTGATTTGAAAATAATGCCTGCAGACACACAACTACTAGATTTTCGTTTTGGCTGTAAGCCATTTAAACAGTTTTTTGGTCAATGCGTTGAAATTTTTGTTGTTGCTGATACGTATTGTGATTCTTTATGGCTTTTTAATTAACTGCAGAAACAGAGAGGAACATCGGTGCGTATGAGTGACATTTGAATGAAAAGTGGGTTTTTAGTAGAGAAGCTGAGCTGCTTGGGAGCCGAAATGCTGTTGTATGCAACCGTACCTTTGTAAGCTTTGCAGATGTACATAGATACGTCGAAAAGTATTTAGTATTGCAGAGATAGTTCGAATGAAGTATGAAACAGCGGTTTCTAAACTGAATGGAATTGGAAAAAAATTAAATTATTTATTGAGTTAGTTAGTTAGTTAATACACTTTTTGGGTGTACCAGAACAAGAAACATCGCGACCCAAGGGATCTTTTGAATCTCTTAAAGATAGTCTCAAACCCAGTGTGGCCAAGATACCTTCGGCTTCCCTAATAAATCCAAAAAGGGCCTTGGTTGGCGAATTCCTTATAACAAAGGGTTCGACCATTGAAGATTTAAAATAAATCAAGCTTTGTCTGGCCAAAGTCGGACAGTGACAGACAATATGCTCTAAAGTTTCATCAACCTAGAGGCAGAGCCGGTATTCCGACTCTGTGATCTGATCACACCTATTCGGTGCAAGACGAATCGCAATTGGTGGTGACCGGTCAGGTACACAGAAAGTAGTCTGATGTCATTTCTATTCACAAAAAAGAATGTCGTTTCTGTTGAAAGGATAGCCGAGGAGCCTGGCCTGTCTAAGGCTCCACTGCTCCCCAGTACTTACTGTGTACTCACTCAGTAGTTATGGCTCTCGAAGAGTTCAATTCACGCAAATTTTGTTTAAGGGTTTTTCGCAAATACAAAGCAGAGATTTGATCTTCTTAAGCCCGAAACCATCTTCCATCTTCATATGAAAGAAAAATACTCTCCACTAGTATTTACTTGCTAGCAGAATATGTATAACTCTCACTTAAATTACTTTCAAATTTAAGTTATATGTATATCTCATCTCTACTTTAACTGCAAAACTTTCATTTTCCTTTGTGCAATTTTCCTAACTCACGGCGACAACGTACGTACATTGCAGCAAAATGAACTGTTGAAGTTCTGATAAACTGCGTGCTGGGAATTTCCATTACAACTTCATGTGGCACACTTACACTCCCTCGTCGTCGTCGTCTGCTCTGCTCTGCTCTGGTACTGCAGTTATGCAATATAAAACTTAAATTGAAGTTTTGTAAGGGCATGATTGAAAGCTAAAAAGTGTTAAGGTTATAATCACTAAAAATACTAAGTAGTATATGTAAGAGTAAAGGCATAGAAGCTTTAAAGTATGAACTGATGAGAATTTAAAGCTGATAAAAATAAAAAAATACAAGCAAGCGAGGGATATTACTTAGAAAATTTAACAGCTAAAGCCATAAACATAACCGATATTTTTCGGTTTTCGGTTGTCAGCCATCAAGAGCAGTGGAAGTTTTAAAGTTGGGTCATCAAGCTAGTTAAACAAAAGGACCACTAAAGAAAACCGCCGAGTGTTTGAAAGTGTTGCTTTTCCTTCGAAATTTGTGCACCGAGTTGGTGGATTTTTTTTTGATTCTAAAAATATGTTGACCTGAATTGCCTGTAGGTGTATATGTGTGTGTATAAATCGGAAGTGCTTGTGCACTCAAAATGCACACAATATCCGTTTCCGTTGAAGCCGTGGATAGCTGAGGCCGTAAAATATGCATTCAAGCATGCAAAGGAGGCAACTCATATGTCTAAATATGCAATCACTTACATACATACATATATATGTACATACATATGAATGAATTTGCTATAGAAATAATATGTCTTTAATATTTTTGGCTGGTTGGCAGTACGTAAAGTTTTAGAGTTTTTACTTTTATGCACTGAATGAAAAGAAAATGGATGTCTGGTTACATCGTTCCACAAATTTAAATATTTAGTCAGATGTAATTCGCACACAATTTACATGAATTATAAAAATTATTATATCCACTTGGCACAATTAAAATCATAAAATAAACCGCTCTACTCTCACTCAAAAAGTACAGTAGTCTTTGGCATTCTTCACACCCGCGCAAACTTTTCGTATAACTGCATATTTCTTAAAAAAAAAAACAAACTTTAAATTCTGCTTGCTGGCAATTTTATAATTTACTTGCAATACTCGTTTCCATTTGAACTACAAAAAAAAATCGAAACTTAAACTTAATTAAAATCATAGCTGGCGGCTCAAGAGCTGCCGCTGTTCACCTTCAATGCCCTTTGAGCGCAACCTTTCACCAGTTAAGTATGTACTTGCTACTCGCTTATTGTTTCCAAGCTTATGAGCAGTGAATGCCTGCTATTCTTTACTCCTCAGCTGTTTTTGCTTTCTCACTCGATGACTGTTTGGTCAG